TTACAAAGGCTATTGTGAATGGAATTATTTTCCTGGTTTCTTTCTCAGTTAGTTCATTATTGGTATATACAAAACCTGTCGATTTTGTATACTATCTTTCTCTTTAAAATTTTTTCCTGAAAATCTGAGTATTTCAACAGTTTACCTTCATGAAGATTGTTTTTCCCCTGTATGTGCCTCATAAAGCACTAGATAGAAAGAATTTCACTATTTGGAGGGAAGATAAGATAGTTACAATTCTACCTCATTTTCATGTTTGTCTCCATCTGAGATCATCTGCTTAGCAGGAATAGAAGCCCTCTTAAATTAGCTAAAGAAAAAGAAGGAATTCACCTTAAGGATATCAGAGTATTTTATAGACCCTAAAGGAAGAAAGTTGATCTGGGTCTCAAAAGAGGCTAGAATAGCAACTGAAAAGATATCAGAAACTTACATCATTTTGGAGCCACACATCTTCTGTTTCTGCTTTCTCTCTGTTCACTTGTATTCCTTTTGTTACAGATCAACCTTTCTCTGTTTGAGGGCACCAGGATGCCTTACAGGTTTTGGATGACTTTTAGGGCAATGGCAATCAGAGCAGACTCTGAGTTCCTTGGTTCATAGAATCTGAAGAATGAATCTGATTCGCTCCTGGCCCACTAATCACTTACCTCCCTCTACTCCCAGGTCTGGTCTATATATAGTAAGGAGTAAGGAGGGTGGGGACCATCCAGTATGCAGCATATAGGTCTTCTCTGGGAGAGGAGGGAGCTGTAGGGACAGTGAAGGGGTTTAGACTCAGGGTCAGTAATGTAATAGTCCACAGACAATAGTAGGTGAATGGATAAAGAAAATGTGTTATATATACACAATGGAATACTATTCAGCCTTAAAATGAAGGAAATTCTGGGCTGAGGATTTAGCTCAGTGGTGCCAAGCCTGCTTCGCAAGTTCAAGGTCCTGAGTTCAATTGCTGGTACCAAGAAAAAAAAAAAAAAGGAAAGAAATTCTGTTATTTATGATGACATCTGGAGGACCTTCTGTTAAGTAAAATAAGCCAGGCACAGAAAGACAAATACCATATGATCTCATTTATATACGGGATCTAAAAACACTGAACTCACAGAAGCAGAATAGAATAGTGGTTACCAGAAGGGGTAAGAAGAAGGATTCAAGAGAGATGTTGCCAAAAGGTACAGATGTTCACTTAGATAAGAGCAATAAGTTGAAGAGATCACATCATGTGACTAGAGTTAATAACAGTATATTGTTATCTCTGAAAATCTGAGAGATTTAGATGTTGTCAACACACAGTGACTGTGAGCTAATGCATATGTTTCTTAGCTTCATTTAGACATTCTACAATACATACATATTTCACAACAGCATTCTTTGCAACATAAATATAAACAATTTTGTCTGTTTTTAAAAAGTACCATTTTACATAAAATCATCCACGATACGCTTTTCCTGTACAACTGGGTATGTACAAATGCAGCCTAAATAACTTGAGGACAACTTTGTGGTACCTTTTTAAATTCATATATCCATGTATGGGTCTTAGGAAAATGTTTGGTGCCCAAGAATGATGTATCCTATAAATATGTTTTTCTTAAATATCCTATCTGATTTTAGGATGAAATTTGTCATGTACTTTAACCACAGCCTTAAGATTTAAGAACAAATATTAGTTTAAAAATGCATTAACTCTAACATGGTCCAAGAAACTTCACATGCCTAACCAAGGAGCACTGAGTCAGATACTATACGTTTGTTGACCAAAAGAAGGTCAAGTTTTGCCAGTTTTTTATGAGCCATGCCATACTGTTATGAACCATACCACCTGAGTGTTTTGTTTCCTGTCTTACTCCGGGGTAATTTATGTATTATACAGTTGCTTGACTTTCTGGTCTATGTCCAGCTGTCCAAAATGTGACATTATTTTTTCTATATTAACACCTTATCAATTTATAAAACTCAAATCAGCTAACTTCCCTTACAAAAGGTTGATGAAATGAAAGAAGAGAACAGGGGAAAATTTGAGGCTAAAATTAGATTCTTTTTTTCTTGGACTGTCTGTAGATTTTTATCATGGCCTCAGCTCGCTTGCCATTATTAGCAATGGGTAATTAATAGTTGATTTGACCGGGTTTCCTCTTACTCTCAGGCTCTATTACCTTTCAAGTGAATATTTTCTGGGTTGATTTTTCTCTGTGAATTGCTAGCCTAGAACCCTGGTATCATTCCAGGGAGTGCAAGTGGAAAAGCAACTGAGAACAATGGGGTGGCATCTTTTTCCTTTTGTGGCTTCCCCTACTCTGGCAGCTCACTTTGAGACAAAGCACCTGCTTGTTCATGGTTATAATGTGGTATTGTTAGATGTCAGAATCTATTGTGTCCACTTAGATTTAAAAGTATGTCTCCAGTAGCTTTCATTTCTATTTTTTCCATTTATGTGGTCCTCTTTCATTTCGATTTTTCAAATTTTGTGTCTTAATCTCTATATTGTACTCATTTTATGTATTTTCTTTTGGGATTTTTAAAGCAGGTGTTCGTTTTATCAGCAATCAGTGACCTCCTCTGGGAAGTGGTTGAGTAAGCTGTTTGAATAGCCATAGCCTTCAAAGCACAGTCCTTACAATGAAGGACAGAAAACCATATTAGCAAATAAACTCTGGTTTGCCAAAAGCTACACTTAAGTGTGCTAGATATAATACAATCAATCCTATCAAAATTTAGTTCCCATCAGCTTTTCACCCAATTAGCAAAACATATAAACATGTCTTATTTTCAAATGTAGACATGCTCCTAACACTAGAGGACACTGTCTGTCTCCTACCCACATCCTCACTTGGCAGAGGTGACCTACTATAGCCAACGTGTGTGTAAATGCTTTTCATACTGTCACATTATCCTCCTGAACACAAGATATTGACTATTTGTTTTCTCATACTTTGTAGTATGTGGCATTCAAAATGGTACGAATTCCCTAAGTACGTAGTTTCAGTGTTGCACCATCATTTAAAAAGGGTAAATCACTGAAAGTCTCACAAATGCCAAGAGTTTTGGAGCATATTTTCAGGGAAGCTGGAAGATGCATCATTTTTGCTCAATTTTTTGTTTTCCCTTGTCCCGGGGATTGAACCCAAGGCCTTCACACTGAGCTACACCTCCAGTCTTTCTATTTTGAGACAGGGTTTCTCTAAGTTGCCAAATGGTCTAGGCTGGACTTTGAATTTGGGATCCTCCTTTTTCAGCTTCAGAGACTGCTAGGATTACAAGCATGTGTTACCACTCCCGGCTGCCCACTTCCTTCATTTTATCAATGCCTGCCCAAACTGAATCAGTCACTGTATGCCTTGTAAGGTGCATGCCCTGACAAGTAGCAATAATTGAGAACCGGTGAGTGAATGCGTTAACTCACTTTCCTGGAATTCTAATTTATTCATAGATTCTTAATTGTTGGGGATAACAGAAGTATGACCTTGCGTGAAGGCTGGAAAGTGGATTGGGTCCCTTTTTAAAGGACACAAAAGTAAAACATTATGACATTTTATTCAAGTTATATTTTTTGTGTTTTTATGTATCAGAAATGAGAAAACTGGTGAACAAGACAAAAAGGCCGCTGGTTTCTTGCAGTGGGTGTTGTAGGAGCAGAACGGCTTCGTGAGTTAGAGAAAAAATGGTAGAAACTGGAAAGGAATATGCATTTGCGACGTTCTGTAACATACCATAGGCACTGAATTGAAAGGAAACATCATTTCGTAACAGAATATTTCAGATCAGTCACCTCCACTCAGGAAATAATTTTCATTATTGTCTTCAAGCCAGAAATTACTTTATCCTTTTTTTTGAAATTCCCTTAAATCCGTTATTATTCAGGATCTCTATCCAATTTCTCATCAAATTGGCCTATTTGTAGCTCCTAAAGTTAACACCACTATCGGAAATGGAGCCTATAAAAATGCCTTAGGGGCATAAACTACGTGTGGGGCAGAAATGGTATTTAAACCTTTAATGAAACGATGAGCTCTACAACTGCTGGATATTTGGTTTATAGGATTTTTCCTTCACTTCCTGTTTTTGGGGGAGATGGAGGGAGGGTGGGAAACAGCCTTAATACACATTTGTCACATTTATTGTCTTCTCTTTTAAAATGCAATTTTCATGAAGCAAGGATTTATGAGTATTTCACATTGCTTGAAGGTATCTATAAACTTTCTTTTTTTCAACTCTCAAAGCGGTGTCTCCCCATTGGTCCAATTCTTGCCAGAAGAAATCGAAATGTCTGTCGTTTCTGCACAGATCCTTCTTCAGAAAAGTCAAGGGAGATAAAAAGAGAAAAGTGGGGAAAGGAGAAGAGAATAAAGCAGAGGGGAAGGGGCAGAGACCAGAAAAGGGGACACTGGCTCTCCGGGAGCAACCACTGCGCGGACCCACTGGCCCTCGGAGCTGCCAATCGGGCGTAATCCTGTAGGAATTTCTCCTTGGTTTATCAGGAAGCCACACAGCCGCCTATTCTCCCCTCGTCGCCGGAGGAGTCCGGAGAAGCAGGCTCCGGAGGGAGGGAGGGAAAGAGCTGGAGGAAAAGAGGCGGAGGCGGAGGCCGGGAGGGAGGAGGAGGAGGAGGAGGCGGGGGAGGAGCAGGAGCGCAGCCGCCGAGCCACCAGCCCGCCCCAGTTTGCGGCTCTCCAGACGCCCCGGGAGCTCCGGCCGCGCGAATCGCGCGCCCCCGCTGCTCGGCCCCCAAACTTCAGCTCCATTAATAGCCATCGATTCCTTAAAACCAGAAAGCAAGCCACAAAGGGAAGGAGTCCGCGGAGGAAGGAGTAAAACCACAGCAGACCCAAAGAACCCCCGAGAGCAGCCT